TCATTCATTCATTCCCTCCCTCGCTCTCTACCCCACTCATTCATTCACTCTCTCACTCCCCCGCTCTCCAGCCCACTCACTGGCTCACTCACTCTAACCCACTTTCCCCCTCATTCCTCACCCGCTCTCCAGCCCACCCTCAAACACTCGTTCACCTGCTCACTGGCACTCCCCTTAGGTGTGTGCTCCTGTGCCAGGCCCGGCTTGCTCAAGGCTGAGATTCAGCTATAAGCAGAGCCCAGCCTGGTGGAGCCACCATTCACCAGGCTTGAGGGGAGGGCATCACGTCCGCTCTGCTCCCTGCGAAGCCTGGAGCCAGGCATGGGGCCGGGTGGGTGCAGCTGGTGAAAAATGCAGCCACCCTCCAAGGCCCCCATCTCCCTGCTGACTGAGCACAACAGCCCAGCTTATGGGCTGATCGCAGGGCACCCAGCAGCCACCTTCCCCCTGTGAGAGCCAAGGCTCCCAAGCCCAGAAATGCCCCCAGCGTGGCCTTGCTTTGGCGGTGCCCTGCCTCCTGGGGGCAACATTCCCCAGCAGATCAACACTGGCACCGCACGGACCCCGCCCTCAGGACCCTCCAGCCGTTCAAGCTGGAATCAACCTGTTTCTGCCTATTTAGGCCTCCACCTCCGAATCCAGGTGCTGCTTGGCAGGAAGATGCAGGGCTGGGGGCCTGGGTCTCGGATGGAGGCTGCCGGTGCAACCCCCACTCTCCACTGGGGGCCCAGGGCGGGCTCTTGGCAGGAAGATGCAGGGCAGGGGGCCTGGGCCTCGGATGGAGGCTGCCGGTGCAACCCCCACTCTCCACTGGGGGCCCAGGGCGGTCTCTTGGCAGGAAGATGCAGGGCAGGGGGCCTGGGCCTCGGATGGAGGCTGCCGGTGCAACCCCCACTCTCCACTGCGGGCCCAGGGCGGTCAAGAACACCAACAACAACAAAAGCTGAACTGGGAAGGAATCATGGAAAAAACCCTCAGAGGTTTTTGGGAACTTATAAAGAAATGCCCACACACATTCTACTAATGTGACATCTACTAGGATGCCAGAAAAACAGACAAATCCTTCGCACGCAAGGCTGGACATGGGTGAGGGCTGCAGCCGTCTGAACGCTGGGCCACAGCAGCTTCCACAGCCAGGCCACCGGCTAAGGAGACTGCTGAGGAGCAAAAGGGAGGGACAGGGCTGTCCCGGCAGGCAGGGGGGTCGTGCGCACAGAAGGGCTGTGGGGACAGGACGCCCCCTTCATTCATCAAGTACCTGTATTATTTGCCAGTAAGAAATGTTTCCTGATAAAATGTGAAAAAAAGGGAGCATTTCCCAAACGACTTTTCCTCCCTTAGTCCTGGGCTGCTTCAGTTTCCTAAGCAGCAGGGCTGGGCACGGAGCAGGACCCAGCTGGAGCTGCCCAGTGTCCTCCAGCCCCCCGCCCTGCCGGTTCTTTGCTACAGGTTTGAGGGGGCCTGTTTCCCTGACGGCATCCCCAGGGGCCAGCGTTGCCGCTTCTTGCTCAAAGCCCTCAGTGGGCATCTCTGCAGCTCGAACGTGGGCTGCAGGTCAGGGCCCACAGTGCCTGACGTGGTTGCCCACCGCCACCCCTGCACCCAGACACAGGCGCCCTGGCCTCACGGAGCAGTGTGTCTGAGTGCACACCGGCCCCGCGCCGGACTCTGGCAGTAGCAGGGGCCACCCCTATGGCCGTAACCACAGCAGGGAGCTGATACACAACAGGGCGTCTGCCCTGTGTCGATGGGGCCGGGGGCCTGAGAAACGGCCTGAGGGAGGTGAGGACTGGGGCCTGGGGAGGATGTGTGGGCAGGGCACAGTCGTGAAAAGGCCCCAGGGTGGGCATGTGCCCCATGTGCTGGGGACCGCAGAAGGATCACAAGGCCTGAGGAGGCTGAAGGGGAGGAGGCTTCTGGACACAGGAGGACACTGCTGTCCGTAGGGCCGGGCAGGACACTGGAGGCTTGGTGGGGTGGCAGGGGTGGGGTGGGATAAAGCAGCAGGGCTCGAGGGCTGGGCTGGGCACCGCCTGGACGGGCCCTGCAGGCCTCCAAGGGGTCAGCACGCCGGGGGCTGCTTTGGTCAAAGTCGCTGGCTGTATGGAAACGGCCCAGAGCCAGTTCTTGGCAATGATACGGGGAGGCTCCCAAGACCACCCTGCGCTGTTGGGGTGATGACCGGTGAGCACCTGGGCAGCCACCAGAGGCAGGCCTGGGCCCAGGAGGCAGTGCCCAGGGGGTGCAGGGGACTCCCGGCTCCTGGTGCCCAAACCACAGGAAACTCCCAGAGTGCCACAGGGTGGTGGCACAGCACACAGTTGTCTGTGCGTCCGAGTCATCAGTGTGTCTGAATTGTCCATGTGTCCGAGTGTGTCCATCTGAGTCATCCGTGCGTCTGCGTGTCCGAATTTCTGAGTCGTCCGTGCATCCGGGTGTGTGCGTCTGAGTCGTCCGTGTGTCCGGGTGTGTGTGTCTGAGTTGTCTGTGTGTCTGGGTTGTCCGTGCGTCTGTGTGTCCGAGTGTCTGAGTAGTCCGTGTGTCTGCAGCTGGTCCCCACATCCATTTTCATAAACACACTCAGGTCGGCCTTGTGGTAGCACCCCCCATGGGCAGGGAGGAAGGAGAACTGTGCACCCCATGCACAATTAGTGCCTGAAGCATAACTCACTGCTTACTTATATCTAGCTTATATATACAATTATACTTAGTCCCATATAATCTTTCTATTTAATCATACAGGTATCGTAGTCGGAGCTGTACTGACACATTTAGTGCTGATTTATAGACTCCTTCCATACAACCGTATAGTAGTTTGTACTAGGAGGAATGCCTGGAGCAGTCACAGAACAGACGCAGTACATGGGAGAACAGCCAGACCAGGACGAGAACCAAAGACCCAGGCGGTGGCGTCCCTGCCTGAAAGGGCAAACGCCGTATGGCAGGCCTGGAGCAGGAGCCTCTCCTCCTGATAAAGGAGTTGTAGCACCTTGCATCCAGTTCCTGTGGAAAGTCGGCCTCAGGCCTGAGATCCTGGAAGTAACCGAGGGAGAAGAACCCCCCTGGTGTGACCAGTCACGGCGGCTGTGCACCCTGTCAGTCTTTTCTCCCTTCTGTGCTGGCTCAAATCATCCTCCCATAAATATCTTAGAGAAGAGCACACGTCTGTCAGCTCCCACTGCACTGGCTTACAGCATCCTTCTATTAGAAACCCTTTGAAGCCTCCAGCCCCCAGATAAGAAGTGTTGCGGATCTCTCTCCTGGAAGGAGATGAGATGGCTGATCACTAGCAGCTCGGGATTGCAGCTCCCACTGAAAGAGCAGAGAACCAGAGGACGCCGCACTTTCAGATCAATTTTTGTTGCTCACACACCAGGAGATTCCCAGCGGAGGAGCCCCACGTGTTGCCAGCGCGACTCTTGAGGCCGGTGAGGCAGTTTTGCCACTGCCTTGGAGCGGCGGTTCTTGGTGCAGAGTCAGAAAAGCACCATCAATCTTAACACCGCTGTTTTGGCCGGCGCAGTGGGTTGCTCAGATTCTAGCGCCGGGAATCAACAAGTTGGACGTCTATTCAGAAACCCAACTATAAAGACGGTAATTATAAAGACCACAGATGGATAAATCTATAACGAAGGGAAGAAACCAGCCCAAAAAGGCTGAGAATACCCAAACTCAGAACGCCTCTCCCTCTACAGGGGATCACAGTTCCTCATCAGCAACAGAACAAGGCCTGATGGAGAAAGACTGCGTTCCATTAGCAGAAGCAGACTTTAAAAAGTGGATGATAAGAAACTTCTGGGAATTAAAAGAACTTGTTCTAACCCAATGCAAAGAAACTAAGAACTTTGAAAAAAGGTTTGATGAAATGTTAACAATACAGTAATACACAATTTAGAGAAGAATATAAGTGAATTAATGGAGCTGAAAAACACAACACGAGAACTTCGCGAACTATGCACAAGTTTTAACAGCCGAATTGATCAAGCAGAAGAAAAGATATTAGAGGTCGAAGACCAACTTCATGAAATAAAACAACAAGACAAGATTAGAGAAAAAAGGATAAAAAAGAACGAGCAAAGTCTCCAAGAAATATGGGACTATGT